GTGCAACTGTAGTCCCAGCTACATGGGAGGCTTGAGGCAGGAAGATCCCTTCAGCCCAGGAGTTTGAGGTCACAGCAAGATATGATCAGACCACTGTACTCAAGCCTAGGCAACAGAGCAAGACCCTGTCTTTAAAAAAATAAAAAATAAATAAATAAATAAACACCTCACCTCAATGAGGATTTCCTATAACTTCCTAAAGTACCAACTTTCTCTTTCCCAAGTGTGCCAACATTTGAAAAAGTAAAACAATCCACTCAAATTAGCTATTAATACATCAGTTAACACTATAGTTCTAAGCCCAGACTTAGTTTTTACCAAAACCAATGTCTTTTGACCATAATATATTAACTGAACTGGCTTCCCTTCTTTATTCCCTGTATGCGTCTCTCACTCATTTCAAAGATTAGTATCCTGTGTGCCAAGTCCTGTCCTTCCCCAATAGTACTGACCCAAACACTACTTCTCTTGGGAGGCATGGAAAACTAACAGAGAAAAAAAAACTGGTCAAGCACAAGACAGAAAACCTAGCTGAAGATCAATCAGAACCAACCAGGCAGATGTTATTTATCTGGGTTTTGTTTTGTTTGAGGGGGGTTGGAGGTTTCTTAGGCCACAGTCACCATGAGGCTTATGAGAAAAGACATGCCATTCTATCCTTAAATAGTCTAAAGAGTTGGAGGGCACAATTTACAGCCTCTTGTGTAAGAATTGTCTATAAATGCCAGTGCCATTCTTTGCCCTGTCACTTCCCATTACCCTAAACCAACAAAATTCTATTCACTGAGACTTGAGCTGGAAACATGAACGAACAGACTTTTCTTGGGCAGAGGGAAAAGGGTAGACGATTTGGCGGGAGGGCAGGGGAGAGCCAGATTTCTTTAACTTTCTGTGTAGTGCCTAATGTGTGTATAGTATACTAGTGGAGCTGAAAACTGAAATATATAAGCAGTCATGCAAAAGTCAGCCTAGAAAGAATAGCAGAGATTTGGTTTCCTCAAATTTGTAATATACTCAAGCTACAAATCTAAAATATGAAGAGGAGATGAACTGATTATACAGTTTAAAAAAAAAAACAATAAAACACTATTTGATCTATGGCTCATTTGCTCTCACACACTTCCACTCTTTATTCACATACTATCCTGGTCTACAGCGAAGTTCACTGAAAAGAAATCAGCAAGCAATCAGGGCCTTAAACTGGATTAAGCAAACTCAAACCCTGTGCAATGGAGATGACAGAAGGTGAGTTTCTCATTGTCCTGTTTAGAATGGTAGGATGGAGAAGAGGTATCTTCACATTACCTACTTAATTTCCACTATTTGCACCACATCTAACTGAATAAAATCTGTGCCTAGAGAATTATAAAACTTAGGAGGCTATAATGGAACCCAGAATCCCAGAATGAGGTGGACAGATGTATGCTGATCTGAGTGTTCCATAAATACAAACTCAATCATGTCATTAACCTTGGCCAACCAAAGAAATACTAGGTAGCAACTCATCTCTGGTGATAAAGACTAGTTAAGCACAAGACTCTGAACCAGGCAACTCTCACCAAAGAATGTAGCCACTTGAGATTTCAGAATTTGGGTCTAGAACACTAAGTTCTAGAAAAAAAAAATCCTTCCTTTTCCTATCTCTTATTCCCTTTCTTCTAACTTCTCTCCTTCCACAGATTCACTCTGAAACTGCTTATACTTTCTACATGTATTAAAAAATCCTTGGGGGAGAGAGGGGAGGAGGGGATGGGTATACGCATACACAAAGAGTGCGATACACACCATCTGAGGGATGGACATGCTTGAAGCTCGGACTTGGTGGGGGTGGTAAGGGCAACATACGTAACCTAAACAACTGTACCCCTATAATATGCTGAAATAAAAAAAAAAAAGTCAAAATAAAAAAAAAAAATCCTGGGTTACAGAAACAATGGTTCAAATACATGGTCTGATAAAGGATTTCTATGCCACTTCCAAGTGTTAAAGTTTTGTGGAAGATATAAGTTAGACCTGAGTCATCTAATACAGTAGCCACTAGCTACATGTGGCTGCTTAAAATAAGTTCTACTGGCCGGGCGCGGTGGCTCACGCCTGTAATCCTAGCATTCTAGGAGGCCGAGGCAGGTGGATTGTTTGAGCTCAGGAGTTCAGAGACCAGCCTGAGCAAGAGCAAGACCCCGTCTCTACTAAAAATAGAAAGAAATTAATCGGCCAACTAAAAATATATAGAAAAAATTAGCCAGGCATGGTGGCGCATGCCTGTAGTCCCAGCTACTCGGGAGGCTGAGGCAGGAGGACTGCTTGAGCCCAGGAGTTTGAGGTTGCTGCGAGCTAGGCTGACGCCACGGCACTCTAGCCAGGGCAACAAAGCCAGACTCTGTCGCGAAAAAAAAAAAAAAAAAATAGAATCAGACATTATCCAGCTGGGTATGGTGGTTCACTCCTATAATCCTAGCACTTTAAGAGGAGGATCACTTGAGGCCAGGAGTTCGAGACCAGTCTGAACAATATAGTAAGAATTTGTCTCTACAAAAAATAAAAAAAATTAGCCAGCCATGGTAGCACATGTCTGTAGTCCCAGCTACTCAGGAGGATGAGGCAAGAGGATTGCTTGAGCCCAGCAGTTTGAGATTGCAGTGAGCTATGATGATGCCACTTGCACTCTAGCCTAGGCAACAGAATGAAACTCTGTCTCTCCAAAAAAAGAAAAAAGAAAAAAAAGAATTAGACATTATCTAGAATTATTGGAAAAGGCCTAAAACTCCATTACCATATGACGAAGGGTTATATGGATTGTCCACTAGCTAACGAAATCGATTAATCCTTTCAAAAAGAGGAGTAGTAGGACAGAAGATGTCTGTAGTAACTTTGAAGATATGGCCATTATCCTAACTTCTCAGTACTTCAAACTTCTTTTAAAAATTCAGAACATACAACATTGTACTGAAACAGTCACCAAATTCATGATTTCAGTTCCTCTGATCTGAGTCTGTAACTTTAAAACTAGCTATATAGAGTTAAGATCTGGGTGTGCAGGGATAAAAAAGGATTTCTTACCATATTGGTGTCAGATGACAGACCTAAGAAGGAAATAAAGTTTTTTTTAATAGTTTTATTAGTCATAAGTTAACAATCTTCAAATCAAATTAGACAACATAAAAACAGTATACAGAACACATGTCCTTTATCCTATAATGAAAAAGAAAAGGCAGAAATTGCATCTAGAGATCATGTCTGCATTCACTGCTGGCAGGAACATAAAATGGTATGGGTGCTTTGGAAACAGTTTGGCAGTTCCTCAAAAAGTTAAACATAGAGTTACATATGACCCAGCAATTCTACTCCTAGATATATATCCAGGAAAAATGAAAACATGTATCTACACAAACTTATACACAAATTTCATAGCAGCATTATTCATATTAGACAAAAAGTGAAAACAACCCAAACATCATCAACTGGATAAAATGTAGTATATACATATAATGGAGTATTATTCCGCAATAAAAAGGAATGAAGTAGTGAGACATGCTACAACATAGATGAACTTTGAAAACTATGCTAAGTGAAAGAAGCCAGTCACATATTGTATGATTTCATTTATATGAAGGCAAATTTAAATAGAAAAAAATTAGAGGTTGCTTAGGGCTAGAGGGGAAGAGGGAATGGGAGATAACTGCTAAAGGGCACAGGGTTTCTTTTCAGGGTGATGATGACTGTGATGATGGTTGCACAACCCTGTGATTATAGTAAAAAAAAAACAATGAATTGTATACCTCAAATGGATGAACTCTATGATATATGAATTATATCTCAGTAAAGGTGTTAAAAAAGAAGAGATTATATCTGGACAAAGGAGCAAAACTACTATCATGAGTTGAAACTGTGGCTTCTTAAGACCAATTTTCTTTCCTGAAATTACCACCAAGAAGCAAGTAGTAAATTGACCTCTAGGCCCAACCCTAACCTATTCAATAATTATTTACGTCAAACTTTTCAGGATTTCATTCAAAAAATAATTCCTTTTGGCTGGGCGCGGTGGCTCATGCCTGTAATCCTAGCTCTCTGGGAGGCCGAGGCGGGCGGATTGTTTGAGCTCAGGAGTTCGAAACCAGCCTGAGCAAGAGCGAGACCCCGTCTCTACTAAACATAGAAAGAAATTAATCGGACAACTAAAAATATATAGAAAAAAATTAGCTGGGCATGGTGGCGCATGCCTGTAGTCCCAGCTACTTGGGAGGCTGAGGCAGTAGGATTGCTTGAGCCCAGGAGTCTGAGGTTGCTGTGAGCTAAGATGACGCCACGGCACTCTAGCCCGGGCAACACAGTGAGACTCTGTCTCAAAAAAAAAAAAAAAAAATTGTTAAAAATTAGCCAGGTGTGGTTGGCAGCACACATCTATAGTCCCAGCTACCTGGAAGGCTGAGGTAGGATCACTTGAGCCCAAGAATTTGAGGTTGCAGTGAGCTATGACAGCATCACTGCACTCCAGCCTGGGTGACAGAGCAAGATCCTATCTCCCGGTGGAGGATGGGAGGACTTTAATGACAGTGTCCAGAATTTTTCGTGTCTTCTTAAAAGCGTAGAAAAACACTACAACAAGATCTCTGAGGACATTTTCTTACCAACTTAAAACTACTGACAGGTCACTAGGAAGACTGAATTGGACTAGAAGACTACATTTAAATTGTATGTCTCTGAGAACAGGGGGCTATGTTCTTTTTCAAAATAATAACTATTCCCATAATTTATTACTAAGTAATACACATTCATCGTATGGATTTAAAAAACACAGACAAGCAAAAAGAAACCACTCAAAATCCCACCAATCAGAGGTAATGAGTACTAATAACTTATAATAGTATATAGTGATCCCTCAGTATCCATGGAGGGGATTGGTTCCAAAACCCTGCCCCAGATACCAAAGTCCCCACATGCTATCAGGTCCCACAGGAGATATAAAAAGTTGACCCTCCATATCCACAGGTTTCACATCCTGAGTATACTGTATCTGTATTTTTGAACCAAGTTTGGTTATGATGAATCCTCAGATACACAGGGCCAAATGAATTTACTGAAAAAAATCTAAGTATAAGTGGATGCATGCAGTTCAAATCCATATTGTTCAAGGTCAATTCTTATAGCTTTCTAATTTTTTCCCTATCCATAATGCACTCTTTAAGAACTAAAATGGGAATATACTGTTTTATCTTTTTCATTAATATTTCTTTGATAAATATTTTTTTTTTTTTTTGAGACAGAGTCTCACTCTGTTGCCTTGGCTAGAGTGAGTGCCATGGCGTCAGCCTAGCTCACAGCAACCTCAAACTCCTGGGCTCAAGTGATCCTACTGCCCCAGCCTCCCGAGTAGCTGGGACTACAGGCATGCACCACCATGCCCGGCTAGTTTTTTCTATATATTTTTAGTTGGCCAATTAATTTATTTCTAATTTTAGTAGAGACGGGGTCTCGCTCTTGCTCAGGCTGGTATTGAACTCCTGAGCTCAAACAATCCGCCCGCCTTGGCCTCCCAGAGAGCTAGGATTACAGGCGTGAGCCACCGCGCCTGGCCTGATAAATATTTTTCAATATCATTTTAAACATAGTATAGGTTTTCAATACTATAAACTATACTGTGGGCACACACTTATTTAACCAATTCTGTTATATATTTGGTTGTTTCTATTTATTGATCACTATAAAAAATGCTGCGATAATCCTGGCAGCGATGTCTTTAACTACATTCAAGATTATTTCCTTTTCTTTTTTTTTGAGACAGAGTCTCAATCTGTTGCCCAGGCTAGGGTGCCATGGCATCAGCCTAGCTCACAGCAACCTCAAACTCCTGGGCTCAAGCGATCCTCCGCCTCAGCCTCCCAGGTAGCTGGGATTACAGGCACGTGCCACCATGCCCAGCTAATTTTTTCTATTTTTAGTTGCTTGGCCAATTTCTTTCTATTTTTAGTAGAGACGGGGTCTCGCTCTTGCTCAGGCTGGTCTGGAACTCCTGAGCTCAAACCATCCGCCCACCTCGGCCTCCCAGAGTGCTAGGATTACAGGTGTGAGCCACCGCGCCCGGCCAAGATTATTTTCTTGTAAGTTCCTAGAAGTAAAACTGTTAAGGTAAAAGATATTCTTTTCCCTTTTACCACTTATACTAGCTAGTATAACACTGGATAGGCACACAATAATTTTATGCTGATGAGACACTAGAATAAGTAAGCAAAGTATCAGAAACCTCTCTAATGATGTTCAAGAAAAGGAAGACTAAGTTTGGCAGTTTCTAACCTTTTACAACTTCAGTACCTTCTCTTAAACGCCCAAGAAAGCAATTATAATTTTACCTAAAGCAAAGAGGTTAATGTTATAACCTCTTAAGGGCTTCTAGAACTAACAAGTACCTTATTTTGGAGAAATGAAATCTGTTGTGCCAGAAAAGAAAGAATATAAAGATAACTTTCTCAAAGGAGTCTCTGTACACTTACCTTTTGTTGGAACTGAAGAAATCCCAAACCTATAGAAAAAAGAACAAGCTAAATTTTAGGAAGCTGTTCACACTTCTGGTTGTCTGTCTCCTTTTCAAGTGTACATATGACACTTCTTGCTTGTGATCTCAAGCCTTGCAATCATTAGCTAATTCTAACAACCCCATGAAAGAGGTCCAGTTTACTCTCCTTCTCACCAAGAGTCCAGAGAATAAGCTAAAAGGAAGCCTTATCAGAATCAGGAGTAGTAGTCAGTTCCTGACTTTTATCATTACAAAAACGTGCTCAATAACAAAGCCCAATCTATAGCTCCTCCTACACCCAAATCAGTAGAGATATTCTGAAGAGAGCCCCAAAAGTGTTCATTTCCTTTCAACAAGTCTCTATTCTACTTAAAATCAACAGTTATATCTAAAATCTAGGATCATGTCTCCTCCTCTTTATACCATATCACCATCTCAGGCCCAAAAGGCTGGGGACACTCACCGAGCTGCCCTCGCAGCTTTTTTACTCTCCAAGCTCACAGGTACATTGAATCGTTCAGCCCTCTTCTGCATTCTCTAAGCAAAAACAGACAAAAGAAGGGATAGAGAAAAATTCAATTTCTGGTTTAAAAATATTCATTATAGGTGGTTATTTTAAGAACATCAGGAGTAATTTCTTAAGGTCTACACTGACAATACTGACAATCCTAGAGGATATCAGATTGTGTCCATATTGGGAATTAACAACCCTTTCAAGAAAGCAAACACAATAAGACTGTTATTATATTCATGCCCTCAAAAACAAAAGAGAGGAATAAAATAATATAAAACCTGCATTCTGCGTGAAGCCAAGCTGTGTTTGGTTGACCTTTGAAAAGGGATCAAAGGAACAGCTTGGTTCCAACACTAGTGGTACTCTTTCAGTTAAAACTGAGGCAGTGTTGTCTTATGCCATTAGAAAAGAGTTTAATAATTCTCTACTTTGAGGGTTACAAAACTGAACTCAAGATCTCAACTGGAACATGGATTTGGAGATACTGAGACAATTCAGAAAAACTTCAATCTCACCTACTAACGAGTAGCAACATAAGACTGACATCTACCATTACTTTTTCAAGGTACAAACATCCCAAACTCTAATCCTAGGTTGGTAAACATCTTAAAGAGCTAGTCACCATTAAGATCACGGTATTATATACAAAAAAGACTACAGCTTGAAAGGTGACTACCCACTATGCCAGCCCAAATATTTTCCAGAGAGTAACTGGTAGAGAAATGTATCAACACCAAAATCTGTCAATACTGATTTTCTGCCTGTGAATAAATTTTAAAATGATAATGCAGATAAAATGAAAGGTAAGAGAGAAAGAAATGTAGACACTGTTCTACTAGGGAAAAGAATACCTACCTCAGTCTGTGGTATTTCAGATGTAATTTTTACCACTTTCTTTTCTGCTGCCCTGGAAAAGAAGAAAGATTTTTTGTGGCATTTATTTATTTATTTTAAATAAGAAAGAGATTTTTAAAAATCAGAAAACTGGTATTCTAAAACAAAACCTTAGTAATGCATAAGAATGGACCTGACTCACATCCTCTGCCCTATAATAGCTCTGCCACCCCTTAGTATGAAGAAACATCAAGTCCATTAGAACTTTGATTCTTTGAATTGTCATCTGTTGAGAAGAGTTCAAATAACAGACTAAGCTACTTTAGTTAAGGGGTATAGAAAGTAATCAGGGAAGAAGTCTGGTTAAATACATTGGACTGAAGAGAAACACTCAAAAAACACCAGAAACCATCTCATCTGCTTTCAGGAACTTTTAAATTTACTTTTGGACTAATGACTATCCTTCCAAACCTCATTTAAATACCAGCTCTCAATTTTCATCACAACAATTAATGAGTGCTCCTACAAGGCCTGGTTTCCTTCTTTTAAAAATCCCTTATTTCTCCCATGGGGACTGTAGCTCCAGCTCAAACAGTCAAAATGAAACAAAAAAAAAATGCCAAAGGCAGCGGAAAGAAAAAAGGCTAAGGGGAATTTGAATTAGGAAAACACAGTAAGTTACTGGTCAAAAGGTTTAAGAGAAAACAAAAGAGGGGGGACCATAGGGGCGGGAGAGAAAGTTCGGAAGTACCCAGGATAAATGGAAGGGCATTAACTCTCCACCAAACAACTCCCATAAAACTGTGGGTCATAACCAGTCTCATTAAGGTCCCTCATTTAGAGACATGGGCAGCTTTTGTTCCAATATCCCAGACACTTTTCCCATTTGATGCCCTGAAAGGTAGTAATGGTTTAATGACATTTTCAGAGGAAGCAATTCTAGAACAGGAACTTACTCTCTCCTCCATCCTTTTGTTGGAGGTTCTGGGACTGACAGACAAGCAATGGGTGCCCCCTACTGACCATAACTAAGTCCTACAATATTTAATTGCTTTGGTGTTTGGGGGACAGTTCAAACTGGAAACACAGGTATATTTTCAAAGAACCTCAGATGAAGTAATGGGATCTCCTTTTAAATATTCAAAGAATTTAAATTAGTCCTGAATATTCTAACTTTAAAGAAATTTCTAAATTCTTCCCATTTCCTGGACATCCTTCCCTAATCCTCTGCCTTATCAGGCACAAAAGGCCAAAAAAGTTTAATGTTTTACTTGAAGTCTAATGCCATTAAGAGACCATTTCTCTCCATCAACCCCAGGCTAACGACTTCCTCCACATTCGCATCCTGAAGCACAATCACTGCAGTACATCTCATGACAGAAAGGGAATCACAGTGAGGAAGCTTCCTTCAGCTCTATTACAATTCCCTCAAGCACAATTAGACTCAAGCAATAAATACACATCACATTCTGGGACTTATGGGAAATTTCCACTCTTCACTGAAAAATTTCTCTCCTACCACAGTCACGTATAAAACACTACCTAAAATACAGGGACCCAGAATCTTTCTGTACATACTTTAGTCTAACCATAACTATCCCTCCAAAAAGCAAAATTACCACTCCCCACACACTTTCAATTTCCTTGTTTTGAAATTTTTTAATAGAACTAAAGCCCACCCCCGAACAAGAGAATTACACATTTTACATATTCTATGAATAATGAACTTCTTCAAATTTACAACCTCTATTTTTTTAACCTACAAAAGTCAATTACCATTGTATTCACTTGCTCTTCCTTCTTGTCCCAGAAGCCCCTAAAACATCTCTATTTTAAAGCTATCCCACTAAGTCATTTTCTCAAGACACTATATCTAATCATAAACCTCCTAAGATGGGAAGATAACTAAATGGCTTTAGAAAGTAATATTTGACAAAAATCTACCAAAATATTAACTGTACATCATGTGTGATGAAGCAAATCCACTGCTAGGCATTTATCCTATCAACATACTTGCACAACTATAAATAGTTGGATGAGGACATACAGCACTAGTTTTCTTTTTTTTTTGCTTTTATGAGTAATCTAAATGCCCATCAATAGGAGACTGGTGAAATAAATTACTGTTCAACCATAGAATGGAGTACTATTAGATGCCAGAAAGAATAAGGTTCTTGAAATCCATATTCAAACTGAGAGGAAAAAAAAAAAAGAAAACAATAAGGTTCTAAGTTAATTTTATTAAATCTGAGTGATGAGTAGATGAGGGTCTATTATATTTTTCTTATGACTTTTGTATATACTTGTAATTTCCCATAACAAGCTAAAAAAAAAAAAAAAAAAACTACTTACTATAATTATCCCTACTTCATAGGGTCAATGTGAGGATTAAATAAGAATACATGGCCGGGCGCGGTGGCTCACGCCTGTAATCCTAGCACTCTGGGCAGCCGAGGCAGGAGGATCGTTTGAGCTCAGGAGTTCGAGACCAGCCTGAGCAAGAGCAAGATCCCGTCTCTACTAAAAATAGAAAGAAATTAATCGGCCAACTAAAAATATATAGAAAAAATTAGCCAGGCATGGTGGCACATGCCTGTAGTCCCAGCTACTTGGGAGGCTGAGGCAGGAAGACTGCTTGAGCCCAGGAGTTTGAG